AATTAAAAAATAAAATAAAATATTTATTAACCATATATATATGAGTCATATTATCAATAACTCAAATTCTACCAATATATAATTCTATTATATAGACCCCCCTTGATGAGATAAAATTCTTTAACTTTATTCGATGTTTACTAGTAGGGATCGGGATTGAGATAAATCCTAGGTGGCATGTATGTGGCAGGTGGGCACACGCCTAAACCCATGACTGACGGGATAATTCTATCACATCTTGAGGGTGAGATATTTCTATCTCCCAACACAAAAATGACATCTTTGTCCAAAAAATCACATGTATAATATCAATTTTACCCTTGAATGTCCAAATAATTACAGATTTAGTAAAACTGACTTATCGAACTGACTCATGAGATTAAATCCTTCTATCTTATCCCTTCAAGTAAACGAGGTCAGTTCTAGTATCAACTGATTGAGTTATCCAAAAAAAAAAAAAATTTGGCTAGTATCCATTAATATTTATATTATAATATTACAAAGAGTTAACAACTCAAATTTTATAAACACGTGATTCCATGAGCCAATTGGTAGAAAAGGTCACAAGAGTAAATGAAAGAGTGAGTTGGGGAAACTTCTTCATGCACTTTCATTTATCAATATAACAATAATGCTAAAAAGCCAACTGTTGACTCTGTTACGGAGTCAACAGCCAATGAGACAGCTCCATGTGGGACTGTCCCACATGGTTCCAATGTGGGACAACCCCACATGGAGTTGTCTCATTGGTTGTTGGCTCCGTAACGGAGCCAACAGTTGACTCCTTAACATTACTAATCAACCTAAACAAACTTTTTAATCTATCTATAATGTGACACCAATAGTGCTTCACACATGGTTTAACAAATAATCAAGTTTTAAACAATAATTAAGATCCAAGAAAACCCCTTTTAAGGGCAATTTCTTGATATTATAGGATTTTTTTTATTGCTTTTTTGATCCAATTAGGTGGATAGGCCAATAATTTTTTCATGGAAAGTTTAGTGGAAAGTAACTTTTAGTTATTATTGAAATTTGAAGGTGAATTTCCTCAATAGTATACCAAAAGTTTTACACTAACTTTGTCTGCCATAAAAGTCTTGGTGCAAATTGATTTTTGTTTAAACCCTTTTTGACTAAGATATTTTTATTTTATTCCCTTGAAACTCTAACCTTAACCACAGGAAAAACAACAGCACATAGCACATCCCACTAGTTTCAATTTTATCGATACAAATATATCCGGTCAAAATGAATTTTTTTTAGTTAACTAAAATTAATATATTTTAATAAATGTGATATGATTAGTTGTCGGTGAAATTTTGATATTATATTAAAATAATATTTTTAATAAAATAATTAAAATTGGTTAAATATAAAAAAGTATGAGAGAGATGATATGAAGTAATAATTAGTTAAAATTATGTGAATAAATGAATAGTGAACTAAAATTGATGTAATGTGTAAGAATAATTGATTAATATTATTTAATGATAATATTGTTAATAGTAAAATTGAATTACAGTTGGGTTAGATGTTTAAGTATGAATTGATTGAATCAAATTTATGTATATTAAAAAAAAAAA